GATGGGGCTCATATAAGGTGTGTATGTCAGCCTGAGCTGAGAGAATTCAGTAGGTCAAGGACATCATATAGTATTCCAGCGAGGGTTCATCAGTTACTGGAGTTTTAAAGGTTTCCTTCCAGCCTAGCTGGAATTACTACCCAAGTAAAGTGAAAAATATGCAGCAGAGCTTAGCTGATAACATTAATGCATTCCTAAAATTAGGGGTGTGCCAAAGTATTGGTATCAGTGGGTATCTGCAAAATTTGATGGTATCAGTGGGCATTGGATAATTTTGATGGGATCGGTATCGGTATTGGCCTAAAGCTGAGTATTGGTACTGGGCAAAAATTCTGGTAGTGTCCCGTCACTTCCGAAAACTGTTTGGAAATCGGAACCAATTTTACCACGAGACACCCATGTTATAATTAGAAATGAATATTCTCCAGTGAAGCGGCAGTATATATAACATAGCATGCATTCTGGCAGTGTGTCATATGTTGTTCCAAGGGGAAGGAGTAAATCTCAGAGTACATCCTGTGGCCCTACACCATGAACTGATAGTGAAGATGATGATATTGTTACAATGGGTATGAATGATGTGAGTGAGGCAGCAGATGGTGGTGGTGGCATGAGTCATGTGACACCAGCAGCAGGCCATGCTACTAACTCAGCACAACCACAACCAGCCTCAACCAACCCCACACTTCCACAACTACAACCTGTACAACCATAACTACCTTTCAATATCCAGAACCCACCAGCAGACTGCATCTGGGATTGGCAGCAAGGTGACAATTTTGTTCCCAGTCCACACGACTTTGATGAAACACAAAGTGGAATACGGCCATCATGTACACTTGGGAACAATGCTACTGAACTGGAATGCTTTCAGTTATTCTTCGATGAACCCCTGATGGACATTATTGTCAGGGAAAGCAATACATACTTTGAGTACACCATGGCAAACACAATTCTTTCACCAAGATCACACGTACACCAGTGGAAGGACAAAACTGTGGCAGAGATGTATCTGTTCTTTACCACAATAATGCTTATGCCACATATGTATAAGCACAGTGTCAACATATACCGGTTGACAGACTGCCTGATTTCAACCCCAGCTTTCAGTGACATTATACCAGTGAATAGATTTGTGCTACTGTTACGTATGTTACACTTTTCAGACAAAACAATGCCTGACAGAAGCGACAGGTTATATAAGATCAGAAATGTGTTTATGTACCTGAAACAAAAGTGCTGTATGTATTTTTATCCCTTCAGGAAGCTTGTTATTGATGAGTCTTTGATTTTGTTCAAAGGCAGACTCTCATTCAAGCAGTACATACCAAGCAAGAGTAAAAGCTTTGGTATAAAGTTATTTGTACTGTGTGATTGCAAAAGTGGTCTGGTTTTGGATATAACTGTGTACACTGGCAGTAAAACATTGCAAGATACCAGGAAGTTACTGGGTATCTCTGGTGATGTGGTTAGAACAATGATGGAACCATATGGCTCACGAAATCGTAATGACACGATTGCAAACAAACCATACCCAGGCCGGGATTGAACCCGCGGTCAGAGAGTCTCAAAACTCCAGACCGTCGCATTAGCCACTAGACCAGCTAGCCACAATAAGATTCGTCCAACTAGGTATATTTCTACACCATAGGAAGGTTAGCATAGGCACCACTGTGACCACAAATGCAAGTTTTTACAGACGAATCTCCAGCTAGCGTGGCCGTGATGAACTCTAGCTCAAGTCCCCTCACTGCCGTCAACATGACTCACGAAATCGTAATGACACGATTGCAAACAAACCATACCCCGGCCGGGATTGAACCCACAATCAGAGAGTCTCAAAACTCCAGACCGTATATGATAGAACAATCATAATAAACAATATCTTATATTGTTTGTTTGTGTAAACAAGTTTTTTAAACAATATGATGATACTAGTGTTTTTGCTATAATTGTGTTACATTCAATGAATGTATATATGAACACTGCACCATACTTTGGTCTCACAGGCCACATAAGTTATGTGAAAAAATAAAATAGTAAAAAAAACAAGAAACCTTCGAATACAAATAAAGCAAAGTTTACCGGGTGAGTGGCAGTCGCCGCTGTTGCCATACACGGCTCATTTTCTGCAAACTTCACGCCTCCATATCTTGGTAAGTACTGATGGCAAAATTTTTTTTTTTGGACTAAAACAATCAGAAAAATAATCTTAACATTTTCATAATGCTACGCTGTATTGCTGGCTGGCGCTATAGCCTTTATCAACTCGTGCTGTTTTAGTATCGTACATATTGCAGAATCACTGAAGGCACATTCTCCCCTCTCTCTTCCTCCTCCACTTTGTACCTTGCTACAATTTCTTTCTTCAATTCTATCGTGTTTTTACTTTCTTTACCAAAGGGCTGCCACTATGAAGTTTCTTTGGGACCATGGTGGTTTATTTCACAGACACAATCAATAAACAAGCACTAAATACATTGAATTTATTGTGAAATGTTTGAATGAGCGTGCAGGGTAATGTTCACTCAAGGATAAACAAAGCTAGACAGGCTCACAATGCCTGTGCGGGCAGGCACATAGGCAGGCACGTGGGGAGGCGCATGGGCAGGTGGACAGGTCTGGTACGCCGGCCATAACACAGGGCACAGGCCGAAACAAAATTTAGCTGAAAAAGGCAGTCGAAACTCAAAGTGGCCAATACTCAGGATGGCCGAAACTCAGGGTTCCACTGTACTATGTAACATGTTTCTTTGGGCCCATGGTGGCTTATTTCACAGTTGCACTCTATAAACAACTGCAAAATACAATGGATTACAACAAAATGTTTGGACGAATGCGTGGCAGAGTGGCAGGTGGACGCATTTAATATGGCTGATTTCCAAGTTGCTGGCCAAAATCCAGTATAGAATTTCAGCCCAAAAAAAGCAGCCAAAATCCAAGTTGGCCGATATTCGCACCGGCTGATATCCGGGGGTCCACTGTATTGTATTAAAATTTTAGATTTAATACAAAGTGTAAACCAATTTTGTGACAATTCAGAATATAAATAAAATAGTAATAGTAAACTGAATAGGTAGCAATACAATATATAATTTAATTTTTGATGCAATAATTATTGAAAGTCATAATATAGCAGTGACAGTGAGAGCATGTATATACATGCTCTCACTGACAGTGCATCACTATACAGCAGTTTCCAATTATACCTGTTCTTCATTTATTCAGGTTTCTCACAATAAATATATTCACCACTCCCTATCAGCTAATTACAAATATATTTTAAGGTGTAAGGTGATGAGAGTATCAAATGATTTAGATAAAGAAAAATTGGATATCAAATTGGGGAGGAGGAGTATGGAAGAAGTGAATGTTTTCAGATACTTGGGAGTTGACGTGTCGGCGGATGGATTTATGAAGGATGAGGTTAATCATAAAACTGATGAGGAAAAAAAGGTGAGTGGTGCATTGAGGTATATGTGGAGACAAAAAACATTATCTATGTAGGCAAAGAAGGGAATGTGAGACAAAAAAACATTATCTATGTAGGCAAAGAAGGGAATGTATGAAAGTACAGTAGTACCAACACTCTTATATGGGTGTGAAGCTTGGGTTGTGAATGCAGCAGCGAGGAGGTGGTTGGAGGCAGTGGAGATGTCCTGTCTAAGGGCAATGTGTGGTGTAAATATTATGCAGAAAATTCGGAGTGTGGCAATTAGGAGGTGTGGAGTTAATAAAAGTATTAGTTAGAGGGCTGAAGAGGGGTTGTTGAGGTGGTTTGGCCATTTAGAGAGAATGGATCAAAGTAGAATGACATGGAGAGCATTTAAATCTGTAGGGGTCGTCCTCGAAAAGGTTGGAAGGAAGGGATAAGGGAGGTTTTGTGGGTGAGGGGCTTGGACTTCCAGCAGGCATGCATGAGCGTGTTCGATAGGAGTGAATAGAGATGAATGGTATTTGGGACCTGACGATCTGTTGGAGTGTGAGCATGGTAATATTTAGTGAAGGGATTCACGGAAACCGATTACTTTTATATAACCGGACTCGAGTCCTGGAAATGTGAAGTATAATGCCTGCACTCTAAAGAAGGGGTTCGGGATATTGACAGTTTTGAGGGATATGTTGTGTATCTTTATACATATATGCTTCTAAGCTGTTGTGTTCTGAGCATCTCTGCAAAAACAGTGATTATGTGTGAGTGAGGTAAAAGAGTTGAATGATGATGAAAGTGTTTTCTTTTTGGGGATTTTCTTTCTTTCTGGGTCACCCTGCCTCGGTGGGAGACAGCCAACTTGTTAAAAAAAAAAAAAAAAAAAAAATTTAAGGTGTTGAACGATGAAAGTTTTTCCTTTCTTTCTGGGTTTTTCTTTCTTTTTTGGGTCACCCTGCCTTGGTGGGAAATGGCCAATGTGTAAAAAAGAGGTAATGTGTGTTCTGTATATGCATTTTTAAAGCCTATCTATATTATTCATTTAATATATGATAGTGTAAACATTTTATCAGGTTTTCATATGCATTTGAAAGTGAAAAAAATGCAACGTTTCACTTTACAGCGGTTTTCACCTTACAGCAGTAGCATGAAACCTAACCTTATGTATAAGCAGGGACCTCCTGTATAGATATAAGCCATAATAAGCAGGATGAAGTTGACATATTAAAACATATTAGACACTTTCAATCTATGTACATTTTATACTGCGATTAGCATTATTATTTAACCCTTTGAGGGTCGACAGGCCCTCTCAGAAACTCGTTCTCAGGGTCGGCCAAATTTAAAAAAAAAAATAATAATTTTTTATGAAAAGATAGAGAATCTTTTCCCAATCATAATGACACCAAAATTATGAGATTTGATGGAAAACTTATGGAATTATGCTCTCGCGAAGTTAGCGGTCTCGGCGATGTTTACGCATCGGCGATTTTGCCCAATTTGAGCCCCATTTTCGGCCAATTCCTCTGTACTAGTCGACAAAAAACATGAATATTTCGCTAGAACTACATTTTTTCCATTGAATGAGTGCAAGAAACCACCCATTTACCATTTTCAACTATCCAATACAGTGGTCAGAATTTAGCAATTTTGCCAATTTCACACAAATTTCAAAAAATGCCAATTTCCGAATAGGGTCCAGAACAAACAAGAAATACATTCCTGGCACTAAAATGACATTTCTTCTGTTCATTAGTCACGTCTCAAGGCCCCTCTTACATTCTTTTGCTTTCCACTTTGAATTTTTATCCTCACAAAAAATAGAAGATTTACTGTTATGCAGACTACTGCATTAGTGTAAAAAATGGTATAAATCATATTGGCGCACTTGGAAAAGAATGTTAGACTCACCAGTTGACGTGTATTGGACGCTTGGCATGATTTGTTTACTTGTGAACTTTGGTAAAAATCGAACATTTCTGCTACTTTGAGCTCAATTTCAAGGTACTTTTCATTGTAAAACCAGTGAAAATCATCTTAATTTCTTTGATATGCATTCCATTCTATAAAATGAGACCAGGAAAACTAGAATACAGCAATAAATACCATACGAAAATACAGTGCAAAGTCGCTGTTTTATGCCAAAAAAACGGTGAAAGTTTTTTTTTTCTCATTATGCACTGTGTGCTGCAGGATTTTTTTTATACTATGCACACTGACCACATAGACCCATTCTTTCATATGGAGGCCTACCAGTCTTTTCCTGCGAGAATTGACAGCGCTAGAATTTATGCGTACTAGTACGTCAAAAACCCCTGCTCGTAAGACGTACAAGTACGGCCGAAACCCTCAAAGGGTTAATGGACAGGCAGACCATTAACTAACCACAGTACTGTAAGGAAAAATTTGATACAGGGTTAGTGTAAACCTGGCATGTTTGTGGCGATCCCAAGCAACTGCTTGCCGTCCACCAGCCCAGTCTGGCTGGTGGCGGTGGCGGGGAGGAGGTACGTGAGGAGGGAAGTGGTCGGCACGGTCCATGCGGTCCAATCCTCTCTGCTCTTCAACCCAGGCTTCGTGGACTCGAGGGTCAATGCTGCCACCACTCCTGTTGCAGTAGAAAAATTGTATTATGGAGCTTCCAGACTGAAATATTTGTAATGTCACGAATTCATATTCTATCGCGGTAAAAAATAATTAAGGCAAAAAGGTGAACCATCAGGAATGTAACTCGCTTGTATGTTTGGCACCTGTGTCTGAGAAGTTAATTCTAAACTTTATCTTCACGGTTTAGTACTTGTATTTACGGTGTGCACTACAAACAAAAAAAATTGCATACTGTATGCATACACAAATTAGTATACAACAGCACATATATAAATTTGTGTATGTTCTGTATACTGCATTGTATACGTACATAAATCTGTTGAATGCTTTTATTCTTGTACTCTTGAGAGATTTTATCACATTAACATATCATAATCTTTAGCAACTCTAAAAGACAGTAATTCCTACCGCCTGCGTTCATCTGGAAAACGTGGATCGAGGGGTGGGACTCTGCGATCTGGACGACGATCATCAATTGGCAGCATCCCACGGCGTTCATGAAGGGATAGCTCATCATAACGACTGCGTCCACTCTCATAACGAACACGTTCTCTTTCACCTATCCACAATGGCATGACAGTATGAGTATGATCTACTCGGGTGAATTTGGGTCTTGGCAAGCTGTGCTTTGCATAATGCAATATTTGCACCTTTCAAGTTATAAAACAATTATATAAAATCAATTCATATAGTGAAAGTTCACAAATAAAAGCAGTGGCCATAATATACTTCATTGGAGTGCACAATGTCAACAAGAGAACTTAGAATTTATGTATGTCTTGTGAAATTTCATACAATGGCATATGTACATTTATGCAAGTTAAATATCCAATCTACTTTTCTGCCTTGTTTTTTCCATGGGAACTTCAATCTAACTATTCTAACTTAGCCTACTTTATTTCCTTCAAGATTTAATTGGATCTTGTGCCTATCAGTCACACTAGCCCCTTGAAGATCAGTCATCTACACACTCCCTGTAGTCCTATCATCCACTGTGCTTCCCATACACCCAAACTACCATAGGACATTTTTCTTCATCTACTTTACTATCCAACTTCTCACATCTTTTTCCATGAAAGGTGTGAGGTGTCTTCCCTATTATTTACAACTTGACATTTACTAATACCATGGGCAAGTGGAAAAGAATCCTTCCTCTAAATCATGAGTGTTGCAAGTGACAACTAAAATGCTGGGAACAAGGGGCTAGTAACCCCTTCTCCTATAAAAATTACTATGTATATATAAAAATAAAAACTTCTGTTTTTCTTTTAAGGTCACCCTGCCTTGGTGGGAGATGGCCGGTGCATTAAAAAAAAGAACAAAATGGCACAATACCATGACTGGAACAATATACAAATAACCCACACGTAGGAAAAAAGATTCTTATGATAGTGCGTGACTAGTTAATGGTCCAAGTCAGACTGAAACATCATAAGTTTTTTTCTCTTATGTGCAGGATGTGTAAAAAAAAACACGCAATTATAAACAAGTCATTTTAACAGCCTTAGTTTCAGAATTATCCATTATGTTCCATATCAATGTTTTGCTTCCATAAGACACAAGGTAGGAGAATGGCTTCAAGATCCTTTCTTTGTATCCATGGTAACACTGGTGTTTGTCAACATCCTCTGAAGGGATTCCATTATGTCTCCCTTACACATTTTTTAAACCTCCTTTCATTATTCTATACTTGTTCTATGTTAATAAATATTTAAAGTCCTCTGCCTTTTCAACATTTCATTATGTGACTTAGTCTTGCATTATATTTCTTCCATGTCTATTTATTTCATAAAGTAGAAAAAATCTTCCATTATCATTCCTCATTTTTCAAACATCATAATGATGCTTTAAAAAGCATTTACCTCTACACATTATTCCATTGTTTATTGTAATAAACTTAGCACTATTTTCTGTATTATGATAATTATGAAAAGCACCAAACATTTAAGTGTTATGCAGCACTGTATGGCAGAGGGAGAAGATGTAGAAGGGTGGGAGAGGGAGAGGTGTAAAAGGAATAACATCAACTGAAAAGATGGTAGTTACTGTTGATGAAGAAAACTGGTTATAGTTAGGAACTACCTTCACTAACTCTCTCTTTTTTTCTCCACTTTCTGGCATCAATTATAAATCTTCAATGAAATGGAACTGAACTTCACCATTTCTACTGCTCATGCATTGTCAATTTTTCTTTCTATAAAATCTCTCTTATAACTCTCGTACACGCCTTCATTGGTACGTACATTGTTGTTAATTTATACATTAGGGAAATACATCACCTGAGAGACATAGATCATTGTCCTAAGATGACCCATTCAGTAGCACTGGCAATACAACATCTGCAAGGTTCAGCAAAGATGCGTAAACATGCCATCTTGCTTCTACTAGTGGTCCCCACCTCCTGCTACGTCATCAAAACCTTCCCGCCTCACCTTCTGCTGTATTTAAGACTCCATTCCTATGCTCCAGCTTCACATTGTTCCAGACTATGGAGTCAAACACTTTTCAAGGCTGAGGGACTAACCACCTCAAAAACTTTTTTTCTCCGAGGGCTGAAGGACTAATGACATCTTTACTATCACGCCTGTTCCCTCTGTATCTGACTGAAGAAGCCTACTGTGTAGGCAAAAATGTTTCAATCAACAATAAAGATACTCAACTGTTACACATGCGTCTTACTTGTCAACTTGTTGGTATTATATACTATTTTCAACATAAGTGAGTAACCACTATGATGAACCACAGCAGAAGTGATCACTGGCTTACCCATGCTGGACTCCTCTGTATGAGTGCATCAACAGACTTATTTTGTCAATAATTTCTAACTTCTATCATTGTTTGTCCTTTTACAAAGACATTAGTTTCCTATGATGTATTGTGCTGAATGACCCCCCATGGGTTTAGCGCTAAGCATGAATATAATAATAATAATAATAATAATAATAATAATAATAATAATAATAATAATAATAATAATAATAATTCCCAGGTATGTACATTCTGTTCTAGTGTTACCTGCTTAATGTGAAACATGAGCTCCTGGCCCACAGCATATAAAATAAACCTAGTATAACAGATAAATCATAGGGATTAGCTCTAATACTTTGTAAATTCCAAAACTTTTTGCGTAATGTTTACCAAAGCAAAATACGAACTTACCACACATGCAACAAATGGCCATATATAAAAAATAAAAAAAATAAATTTGAAAAAAAAAAAAAATACTATCCAAGCTTCCATCATAATTCCTGTATATACAAAAAACATATTTTTTTTCACATTTATTTATTAAAAAGAAAAGTGAACTTACCACCCTGTTTAGACTATGAACCTGTGACTACATCTCTCTCTACTACACTTTCCTCCCTCCAATCACCCCTCATTCTGACATTTTTGTCGGTGCAACCAACTTCACCTGGTGGTCTTGTCCAATCTGGCTACTAAACAGATAATGATATAAGGTAATGTGTAACAAAAAGGGACCTCTAAAAAAATTGTGATTATCCTATGTGGTTGAAAATTTGGTGCACCCTTTCCCCGAGGGTACAGAATAATTATGATCTACTCGACTTTTTTCTCAGCTTCTCCAACGACATACTCACTTTTGTCCTCTGCCTCTCCTCTCCTTAAAAGCACTTATTTCAATTCTTAATCTAGCCATCAAGAATCATCTACTAATTTCTTTCCTTCTGTTAATTTTCACACTCACTTTTACTTCTTATTTATCGATTTATGTTGTTTCAATTTTTTTTTTTTCAACTCGTCGACCATCTCCCACCATGGCAGGGTGATTCTCCCCCCCCCCCCAAAAAAAAGAAACACTTTCACCATCATTCACACATAATCACTATCTTTGCAGAGGTGCCCAGATATGACAGCTTAGATGTCGCTCCAAACAGCCAAAATCTCAAATCCCCTCCTTTGAAAAAATACATTCACAAATAATAAGCAACCCAGCACAAAATTTTACATTCCTCTAATTCTACTTTACCTATCACTTTTTAATTTCCTACTCTTCCATTCACATGCCTTACCACAAACATCTTTCTCCCTCAAAGCACTGCATCAAAATTTAGTGAATTATTATACTTTAATTCTGAATTTATCATACACATTCTCCTTATTAACAGGAACAATGGCAAACTTATTTGATCTATAACACATCGGCCGTTTCCCCACAAAGACAGGGTGGCCCAAAAGAAATACTTTCATCATTCACTCCATCACTGTCTTGCCAGAGGTGCACTCACACTATAGTTATAAAACTGCAGCATTAACACCCCTCATTCAGAGTGCAGGCACTGTACTTCCCATCTTCAGCCTGCCAGTTTTCCTGAACCCTCATGAATATTACCTTGCTCACACTCCAACAGCATGTCAAGTCCTAAAAACCATTTGTCTCCACTCACTTCTAACACATTCATGCATGCCTGCTGAAAGTCCAAGCCCCTTGCACACAAAACCTCCTTTACGTTCTCCCTCCAACCTGTCCTAGGCTGACCCTACCTGCTTTCCCTCCACTTCAGATTTATACGATCTCCAAGTCATTCTAGTCATTTAAGTCATTCAACAGCCCCTCCTCATCTCTCTGGATAATACTTTAGTAACCCCACACCTCCTCCTACTTTCCAAACTATGGATTCTCTACATTACATTCACTCTACACATTACCCTCAGACACATCTCCAATGCCTCCAGCCTTCTCCTTGTTGTAACATTCCCCACCCACACATCACACCCATATAAGAGTGTTGGTGTAACTATGCTCTAATACATTTCCTTCTTTGCTTCCAAGGATAATGTTCATTGTCTCCACAGACTCCCCAGTGTACCACTCACCCTTTTCCACTCATCAATTCTATGATTCACCTCATCTTTTACAGACCCATCTGCTGACACATCCACTCCCGAGTATCTGAATACATTCACCTCCTCCATACTCTCTTCCTCAAATCTGATATCTAATCTTTCATTACCAAAATTTTTTATTATCCTCATCATCTTACTCTTTCCTATATTCACTTTTAATTTCCTTTTTTTATGTGCCCTACCAAACTCGTCCACCAACCTCTGCAACTTCTCTTCAGAATCTCCCAAAAGCACAGTGTCATCAGCAAAGAGCAACTGTGATAACTCACACTTTGTGTTAAATTCTTTATCTCTTAGTCCCACGCCGCCTCTTGCCAACACCCAATTATTAGCACTTGAACTCGTGGTCTAGCTATCCTGAGATTACCAGCCTGGGGTGCTATCCACTATATTACAGTGGTAATATAGCTGGTAATTTTCAGTGTCCAAACTGCTAGTTCAAGCCTCAATCGTTTTTGAGCTTACACATTCATGCTGATAAGACACATGTGCAATAGTTAGGTATCTTTATTCCAGAATAAAGATGCCTAACTGTTGCATATGTGTCTTATCTATCAGCTTCTCAGTATAGTATACCATTATCATATCACACCCATGTTGTCTAAAAATTTCACTCTCTTGATGAGAAGACAAAATCCACTCCATCTGCACTCTTTTTTGCTCTTTTCTTGCATTACTCATCCACATGTG